GAATCCTCGTCTTTGTGCGACTCGGTCCTGCCCCCCCCCTCTTTCAGAGACTTTCTACTGGGGCCTCCTAAATTGGGATTTTCTCTTCCTCCCACTGCAAGCTCCTGTTCTCTCGCATACCTCTTGCTCTCTTCTCCCCTACCACCACCTCCGTCCCCCCTTCAGCCCCCCAAACTGGGCTCTTAATAAAGGAAAAGCGGTGTCAAATTTTATACGGGTGGGGAATGCTTCGGGGTGGACCGCAGCGGTAGCAGGTCGCCTGATATGGGGGTGACGAGTGTGGGGATTTGTTCACGGGTGGGTCCTTCATTTACACTGGACGTTTCTGAAGCGGTTTCATTCGTCGTGACAGTGAAGCATCCTTAAAACAGCCCCTTTCCAGAGTACCGCAAACCTGCTGTGCAGCCACTTATAGCAGGTCCTTGGGGATATTGAAGGTTCAATGCTTTTGACCCCTTTTCATGACAAGGCTGTAATCCGGACACCTCCTGTATCGCCCTATCTGGGAACGTGCTTTCTACTCAGGAGCGCATCTTTACTTATAGAAAGTTAGGGTTGGAAGGGACCTCAGGAGGTTACAGCTAATCCCAACCCCCTTCTGAAAGCAAGACAATTCCCAGCTACATCATCCCATACTTATATAGCCAAATAGGGCTTAGAAACCTTTAAAGGTGCTGTTTTTGTTAACGTTTTAAGGGAAACATGTGCTGGGGGGTTGAATCTCTGGTACTCCCTCCCCTACATTCACCCCTTTGCTTATCAGTCAAGCATGTCTAAGCACAATTGCATCCTTGACACATTGTTATTATTCAGTTCAATGTAGGTCTTCAGCTTCATATTGCTCAGAAGCGCACTGGCAGGATTAGATTTCAGTTATGTTCTTGCTGTTGATACTTTTCCTTGCTCCCTTTAGGTCAGAATATGAAACGCGAGTCTGGAAGGAAGGTCCAGACTGGAAATATCAATGCTGCTAAGGTACTATCTTACTTTTTCAGTTATACAAGTTATAAAAGGGCAAATGCAATGCAACAAATTGGGAAGGTCTTTAGCTGGTGCTTTGACTCAGTTCCTTGCTGATATTTCCTGACAGGTCTTCAGAGGAAACACTGATGAACGTTTCTTTGCTAGGCTAGATGTTTGCAGTGGGATGAAGTGCTCTTTTGGTGAAAGAAGGAAGCTTTAACCAAATACTATAAATGTTTCTGTCTTGATATCTCATTTGGCCAGTATTTTGCTAAATTCTGACTGAGAAGATGATGAGGTCTAGAAATTTGCAGGTGGTTTCTTAATTGCTAAATTGTATTTTTACAGCTGACACAATCCTGCTTTTTGCTGCACTGAAGCAACTGTCAAATCAGTGGATCACTTTCAGCAATTAGAAGGCTTGCGTTTTTTCATGGATGGCAAGGATTATCTAAATCTGTTTTGGCTTTTGGAACACTAAAGACATTATTAATGAAATCCTGATCACTGGAAGCAAGGGATTAAAGGAGTGAAAGCATAGAGTCAGACCAGGGATCATCTCATTTTAGAGCATGGAACAATCCTTGACATGCTGGTTTGAATGAGTTGATTTTCTTCAGTGCTGTTTATTTATCCCTCTTCACTACTGCATGTTAACTGCTAGTCACAGATCCATAGAAGTTTAGGGCTGGAAGGGGCCTTGTGAGATCATCAGGTCCAGCCCCCCTGCTCTAGGCAGGAAAGACTGCTGGGGTCAGCCCTAAACTTCTGCTATTGTGCTTTTGTAAAATGTATGAAATTCTCCCTAGGAGCATTATCACTTGATTTTTTTTTTTTCCTCTCTTCCCTTTATCATGATACTTCCTTTAAGAAAAGAAAAGAGAAGCAGAACATGTGCCAATTTATGAATAAATCCTGCATCATCTCACTTTCCTTTCATTTTAGACCATTGCTGACATCATCCGAACATGTTTGGGACCAAGAGCTATGATGAAGGTAAAAGCTTTTTCTGTTTGTGCTAGATGGCTCAGCAGCATTGTGTGCCTTAACAGGCAGTCTTACCACTACTTTTCCTCTCTGATGTAGATGCTTCTGGACCCAATGGGTGGAATTGTGATGACCAATGATGGCAATGCTATTCTTCGCGAAGTGAGTCTTCAGTTTTGATCACTTTTCCTTAATACCAAATAGTTATCACGTTACCCTGGCAATGCTGATGTTCTGGAATTTTCCAGAGTCCTGAAAAAAGAGGTCTCCCATCCCAGACAAAGCGCGGAAGACAAACTAGTTAAGATTTCCTATGGCTACTAATTTTCTTGAAAAGACTAGTTTTCAAGATTGCTTATAGCCTTTTGAAACAAGACTGGTTCCCAAATTAATTTGAACATATGCAGTTGGTATGACACAAATTCTATATGCGTACATACTTGTCACGGGGTTGTAAGTTACCCTTGTCACTGATACTTATTTGATTGTCTTCACTTAAGAAAATCTGATGCATATGTTAATATTTGAAATGCAGATCTCATTTCATTGTCTGTAACCACCATAAAACAAAGCAGGTAAATACAGAGCTTGTAATGATTGAGAAATATTTCTGTAGAAATCACTGGGCACTGATAATAAACAAATAAACTCAAATCATTATAACTGTACAGAGACCCAGTCTCATTGGCAGTGGAAGAAAAATATTGTAGCAACGAAGAACTGGGGGATTATTACAAATGGAGCTTCATAAAATGAAAATAAGACTGATCATTGTCAGATAGTGAATTGTAATTAAATTGAGGATAATAAAGCGTACATGTAGATCCTACCATTGCTTGGCTTGAGGAAGCGGGGGCTATCATTGGTAGAATTTTGCCTGGGATCATCATTTTAAATGGAGGTGAAATTTTTTGCCTGTGTGTGAACATTTTCTATTTGACAACGGGACATTATGTAGTGGCAACAGCAGTAGTTGCTGTACTAATGTGCTAGAAGTAAGGTCCCTGCCCTGGAATACTTACTATTTATATAAGTCCTACTAGGGTTGCAACTGAAGTCCTTATAGGTGACGCCCGTTCTCGTTTGAAAAAAAATATATTTGGTGGAGCAATTCAAACCTGCCCAAATTCTGCTGGGTGGCTTGAGATGAGTAGAATACCAGTCATTTATTCCCAGGTTAAGTAAGTAGGTTTTCATCCCCAGGTGATACATGTCCATAATGGTTTTGTGAGGCTGGCTTAACCTCTCCATTCATTGTGATTTTAACCCAGTGTACTGATATTGCCCTTCCCTGAACCATTTAGAGAGAAGAGACCACTCCTGTCTTGCCATACAAGCACTGTCTAAATCCCAGCATGAATATTCCCAGCAATTAAATAATGGCTGAGGGATGTAATGTGGTGAAAACAAGATCTGGTGTTCTGCCTTGTTAATTGGGTGGTGTGGAGACACACCACCCCTTGCTCAAAGATAATTTCAGTGTTTCCTTTATCTCTGAGTGAGAACAGGTATGCTGCTTTCTGAAGCATATGCTTAAACTTTTATTTTCCCCGTCATGTACAGATTCAGGTCCAGCATCCAGCAGCCAAATCCATGATCGAGATCAGCCGTACTCAAGATGAAGAGGTTGGAGACGGGACCACATCTGTAATCATCCTTGGTAAGGGCACTGATTGGAAGTCACATTCCATATTGTGAGGATGCAGCCAAAGTCTGTTGGGCGGGGGGCTTATTTAATGTTCATATTGATACATTCTCCTATCTGCAATTATATTAAATAAATGCTAATTTGGTTTAATAATGAGCCAGTGCTTTATGACCTGGGAATCATCTGTTTGTATGCAGCTTGGAAATTTCACACAGCCTGCAATGTGGACAGGCGACAAGGGCCAAAGTAGTTAGCTTTTGCACACCAGTTCTCTAACCTGACCCTGGGGCATTGGTATCTAAAAGGCTTCCCTCTCTCTTGTGGTGCAGCCAGGTTAAATGTCCTTCCCTCCTTTGCAGGCTGGGTTCTTGGCAGTCACCAGGAGAGGGCACACACCCATATTTGCTCCTTAGGTCCAGTGATGCTCACTGCATCCGTGATGACAGGTTTATGCTAGGGAAGACGTTAAACATGATGGCTTTAGGATCAAGAGTTACTTGAGTCTGCACCCAGGTTAAATTAGATGACCTGGCCCCTGCAGCATCTGCTTTTGACTAGATACAATTTCCTCTTGCTTTATAATGGCAACACTTCCTGCTTGCTTATCTCCTGGGTCTTGTTTAGCTGGAGAGATGCTGGCTGTCGCTGAGCACTTCCTAGTACAGCAGATGCACCCGACTGTGATCATCAGTGCTTATCGCAAGGCGTTGGATGATATGATCAGTATTCTCAAAAAAATAGGGTAAGCCACATCATTTGAAATGGGGCTGGAGGGGCAAGTGGGTTGTTTCTCACTGCGTTTTTATATGAAGATGAGACTCCAAGGGTCCATCCCGTCAAATGTAACTGCAGCTGGTCTGCAGGCAGGTTTCTATAGTGACACAATGCCTGAGCTCTGGAAATGTCAACCTACTTCTCTCATATGGGAGGCAGGCTATACAGAAAGAATATAGATATCAAAGGCTTGGTAATTGCCATGGTACATGGAACAGATGTTTGAAGGGAGGCACCTCTTGCATATTGCCTGTGGCAGACATAAAATAATGTGATTATTGCCAAGCACGTGCAATCTTTAACCATCTGCCATGGAGAGAACCCCCTGAAAATAATGTTTGCAGCGGCAGAAAGATTGGGTGATCTAATAGCTCTTTCCAGCCGCGTTGTGTATGATACCTATGTGCTGCTCTTCTTTTGTCCCAGCACTCCAGTTGATGTGAACAACAGAGAGATGATGCTGAAGATCATTAACAGTGCTGTAAACACCAAGGCGATAAGCCGTTGGTCTGACCTGGCCTGCAGCATTGCTCTAGAGGCTGTCAAGACTGTGGAGCTTGAGGAGAACGGCCGGAAGGAAATTGATATCAAGAAATATGCTAAAGTAGAAAAGGTAAATTGGATTTCAGGCCTTTCTCATGGGCATGCATGCTGACAGTGGCAAAGCCAACACTCCAGCTGCCTCTCATCTAGGGTCAGTGGTATAAATAAGGTTTTGAATGTTCCTAATTCAAAGTTGTTAGAACCTCAGTCCTTGGAACATTTTCCTTTGGATAATTCCTGTTTGCTAATGTGCAAAGGAACAGAGTGGGAAAGGGATTTGTTTCAAGGTCTTTAGCACCAAGGTTGGCTACATGGAAAAGAAAAGTAGTAATGGGAGAGAAAGTTTCACTGAAAGTAAGATTTTTATCACAAACAGAAGGGGATCGTCTAGTTTCTGCAACTTCCACTAGGAAGCAGCTCCCTTCCGTATTCCATATCTTCTAAAAAATAATGGAGACTAATTTCCAGTATTGTTCCCTTAGCATGGTCTTCAGCCAGAGTCTAGACTGGTTTTTGGTGCTCAAGAATACATGGTTATTTGTACAGACTAAATAGAGTTTTAAGCCTGTTTATGTATCTATCAGATTCCAGGGGGCTTCATTGAGGACTCTTGTGTCTTGCGTGGAATCATGATAAACAAAGACGTCACTCACCCACGCATGCGTCGCTATATCAAGAACCCCCGCATCGTTCTCCTGGACTGTTCACTGGAGTACAAGAAAGGAGAGAGCCAGGTAAGGCAGGTCTCATGTATTGTTGACTTCTGTTCTTTGTAACACTTGAGAAGGGAGCAGATGCCAATTCACTCACCATCACCATAAGTAATTGAAAGGTTATGTTACCAAGATTGACTTATCTGACCAAGCTGGTTTCCATTGTGTGCAGCTACTTTATCTCTCCTCTCTCCATCCATCCTGGGGGCAGCTGGGTAGGATTATTTCAATTTAAATGCAGTAAAATCTTGCCAGAAGTAGACTAAAACCTTTGAATCTCTCTGTTTTTGCAGACTGACATTGAGATTACCCGAGAGGAAGACTTTGCCCGCATCCTCCAGATGGAGGAGGAGTACATCCAGCAGATCTGTGAGGACTTGATCAGAGTCAAACCAGATATCATCATCACCGAGAAGGGAATCTCTGGTAATGTCAATATTTTTGTTAATGTTACAGGCAACGTCTAATGGCCAGAGGTTCGCTACAGAATCTCCTTTTAACACAACTGAAATGGATAATGGGCTTGGAATATCATCATATTCCTGTGCTCTTCTAGAACGTTGTCTATAGGGAAAAATAGGGTCTTGAATTTTTTTTTTTTTTTTTTTTTTTTACAGTGAGCTATAGGTTTTAGCCACAAAGGACCAAAATTGAGGGGGGAACTGCATCTCCAGCTTGGTCCAAATAACCATGTGCTTTCCTACTTTCCAAGGCTTGTAACCTGCTTGAATAATCACTAGCAGACTCCTACGCCCTTGCTTGCATACTCAAAAGCTTGTGCTTCGCTCTGTGATCTGCTGTTCCTGAGAACCTATCTGTCCTTTGGCTTTTCCGGTAGGACACAGATTCTGTCTGAACCAAAGTGATGGCTGATCACCTACAGTTCTGATAACTTCATTGTGAATCCTCAGCCTTTCTTGGGGTTTGCCCCATGGGTTGGCACTGATAGAAAAACAGAACAAGCGTCTAGCTAAATATAGGGGAAACATTATCATTGCTGCCTTCTCCAAGCTGCACTGAAATGTGTCTCCTTGCACATCATCCCACGTCCTTTCTTTCTGTGGCCGTTCGTGATTCTCTAGGGTGCTAGGGACCCTTGAGGTCTTTGCATCTGGCTGTTAGAACTTCATTGCCTTTGACTTCAGTTAGTAACGCTGTGCATGCTCGGTTTCAGACTTGGCCCAGCACTTTCTGATGAGAGCCAACATCACAGCCATCCGTAGGGTCAGGAAGACGGACAACAACCGAATCGCCAGGTGAGTACTCGCACTGAGGAGTAGCAAGTAATCCACTTGATTTCTCTGGGATCCACTTGTTCCCTTATAAGCCAAAATGTAACAACATTCGAGTCAAGCATGGCTTTAGCTGCCTCTTGTCCACGAGCTGTACAGACCCCGATGAGCTGGGGTACCTGTTCCCCAGCATCAGTGCTGCTGCAGCCCAAGAGATCTCTTCTTTCTGTCTGGCAGGGCCTGTGGTGCCCGCATTGTGAGCCGCACAGATGAGCTGCGTGATGAGGACGTGGGTACGGGGGCCAGGCTCTTTGAAGTGAAAAAAATAGGAGATGAGTACTTTGCCTTCATCACGGACTGCAAAGACCCCAAGGCCTGCACCATCATGTTGCGGGGAGCCAGCAAGGAGATCCTGGCTGTAAGTTGCTGCATGTTGTACCCCTGCTTGGTCTGGAAAGCTGATTCCCTGCAGAAATCGTGCTGTAGCAATTCTGGGTAACATCCGTGCCAATTAAGGCTGAGTCTACCCTTGTGGCTTCTATGGATGCCTGCATCACTTGGTCTCCAGGTCCTGCCAACATGAGGGACTGGATTCGTTAGCAAATCCCCCATCTGTGCCTCAGGCCAACCTGTACATCTGTTGTTTCCTTGCTTTCCCTGTTGCAGGAAGTAGAACGCAACCTCCAGGATGCCATGCAAGTGTGCCGCAATGTCCTGATTGACCCCCAGCTGGTGCCAGGAGGGGGTGCCACGGAGATGGCCGTGTCTTACGCTTTGACTGAGAAGTCCAAGGGCATGACAGGAGTGGAGCAGTGGCCCTACCGTGCGGTGGCCCAGGCCCTTGAAGTCATTCCCAGGACGCTGATCCAGAACTGCGGAGCCAGCACCATCCGCATCCTGACTTCACTCAGAGTAAGGCCACAGGACTTTTAGCAGGAAGCCCCTCTTCTTTACAGATCTGCTCAGCACTGGCTCTCTTTAACCCCTGTGAGGTGTCAGTTCAGTACAGATCCTATGAGTAGCTGTGGCAGCACCTCAAATCATGGGAAATGGTGTTTTAGGCTTGTAAGAGGCTTTTATGCCAACAGTTTGCCTTAAAACCCCTGACAAGCTGTTTTTGCATTGCTGTGCAACACCCAGAATCCAAACCTCATGGCTTTATGCCCATGCGGAACCTGGAAGGGAAACTATACCGCATCCACTTTGGCCATCTAAACCATGTGAAATCTTCAGAGGAAACAGCAGAGAATTAGAGATAAGTTTAGATGTAATCTGAGGTTTGATTTACCGAAGTGGGAGAGGATTCGTCTGGGATGGTTCAGATAGGGTTGATCCTGCCTTAGTCAGGGGGTTGGACTAGGTATGACCTCTGGAGGTCCCTTCCAGTCTGGCTTCTCTCTGATTTCTGTGAAAATAGTCTGTCAGACTGATTCTGCATAAAGCATTAGTATAGTTTGTACAGTCTTTATAGAGGGCTGTCCCTTGAAAGTCTGTTACACACTCTAGGCTTGCAAGGTTCCTTGCCATCTGCATGGAAGGTTGGAGGAATGAACGTTTTTTAAGATTCCTTTAGGAAAATGGTTTAGTTGAGATCTCTGAGACTGACTGCACCTTGCTTATTACAGGCAAAACACACTCAGGAAGGCAGTCAGACTTGGGGTGTGAACGGCGAGACTGGAGCCTTAGTGGACATGAAAGACCTGGGCATCTGTGAGCCTTTGGCTGTCAAGTTACAGACCTACAAAACGGCTGTAGAGGTAAAAGCAGGGCTGACAACTGGATGCTAGAGGAGGAAGGCTGCTGGGCATGTCCTCTCTGTAACTCAAGTGTAGTGGGGTTCCTCAGGCTGCTTATAGGCTGAGGTTGGTGGTTGTCCTGTGATGGTAAAGACGGGTATTTTGGTAATTCAGAGCACTGGCTGGGTCAAAGTGGGCTCAAAGTCCTCCTGCTCTGCTAGTGAATTAAAGATGGGGAAACCAAGGTCTGGGAGAGGGCAACAGGCCTAGGCAGCCCCTTCTCTGACTCTGGCATGGGACCTCTCTTCCTAGACCGCCATCCTTCTCCTCCGTATTGACGACATTGTTTCGGGGCACAAGAAGAAGGGGGCTGAGCAAAGCAAGCAGACGGCGGCTCCAGAGGCAGCTCAGGACTAGGAGGGATCCAGCCACCCTGGGGAAAAGCTACGCACCTCGGACTAAACCCAGTGTCGGCCTAGCAGCGCGGCTTTTCCTTGAGCTGGGCCCGAGCCCCAGTATTAGTTTGTCTGAAGTCTGGGGGGGAAGTGCCAGTGTCATGTACGACCCCCTGTCCCTGTTGGAGACACTGATGCTTATTTAAGTCCGTGCTGTAACATCTCCGTTGCTGTTTGCTTCAACAATAAAACCCATCACTTCAGCCGCTTGTCTCTGTCCTTAATATGCGTGGAGTGAAGCCATGAGGGGGGTGAAGGAGCAGCCTCTGTCAGCAGCACTGATTCCAGCCAGGTATGCAAAGAACTTTTGCCAAGACAGTGGGGTGTATCGTACAATCCTCCCGAGCTCTACAGATGACCATGACCTTAGAGAAGCTGCCTCAGTTTCTCCATTGATTGCCCCTTGTCTGAGGGCAAATCTGGGCCCATCCCATACTCCATGCCCCTCCAGGAGAAAGGCACGTGTGTGATTTACAAAAGTAGGGATTCTTGGGCCCTTTTGCCAACTGACAACGTATTCAGCTGCCAGCTCGTGCTGAACTTTGCTGTCCACACTACGCAGAGACATGAGGTGTGTGTCCTGCCATCCATGGATCTCGATATCAGGTTCGCTTCGTTTCAGGCAACCTGAATGGCTTTTTTAGCCACTGTCTCTACTGTGGCAGAGACACTCTGCCAGTGTATTTAAAGCAGATGTGGCCTTGCTCCAACCCCTCTCTGGTGATCTCCATGAGGGGCCAGACTACTCCAGACAGACGTCCCCCCAGCAGAAACCTAGGTCTCAGCCCCCAGCTCTATTCACCTGATCTGCATCTGAACCACTTCCGAATCCAGCCTGCAGCCCTCTGTGGGCGTCCTCCATCCTGACCTGACTTCCCTTCCACCCTCCCCTGCAGTTCTCCATACAGCTTGTGTTGCTTTCCCATCAATCCCCCTCCTTTTCCTTTCTTTTCCCTTCTCCACAGCCCCCTTTTCTTTCAACCTCCCTTAGCTGAATGTTGGAGTCTGGGCAGCTTTTTATGCTGTGCGTGTTTGCAGTGTGGTAGAGAAGAGGGACTTTATTAACTACATGTCCTTTGGGGCCCCAGTCTGCATGCAGGGGGTTGGAAGTTAAACAGTAGAGAGAGAGAGGAGTTTTCTCAGGGCCAAAACTTTCTTTTTTGAATGATAGCATTGCTGTAAAAGCAACATCCATGCCAGGAGTGTTGTTACGAGCATAGGATGACTGCGGACGATCCTGGCAGCATGCTTAGGCTCTGGGCAATGCTTTTTCCATGGCTTCCCCAGCTAAGTAAAACTAATTTCTTGCTGAATCCATGCTGCATTGCACCCCCTTGCAAATGAGATGGGCAGCTTTGTAATGTAGATTCCTAGTACAAGAAGCACTATTTCCCTGCGAGGGTGGGAACAAAGTATCCCGGAAAGAAGTATGGTCATATACCTGCATCCCTGGTACAGCCATGGGAGCTAGAATAATCCACAACTCATCTACTTAGAGGTTTTTAAGCACCAGATCGACAAAGCCCTGGCTGGAGTGATAGAGCTGGTGCTGGTCCTGCTTTGAGCAGGAGGTTTGTGATTTCCTAAGGTCCCTTCCAACCCTCATTTTCTATGACCTGCTATCAAACCTGTGCAAGCCTCGGTGTGCCTGCAGATATACTGGGATAAGGCTGCTTGCCTGTGCTTGCAGCATGGCAACAGAGAGCTCCCAGCGTGTCTAGCAGCAGAACTGGGCTTTCTCCTGGCGGGGTTGTGGGGACCTGCCCTGGACAATGCAGCTTATCAGCCTTAAATCATAGACTTGTCCCAGGATGAAGTTGCTTCCTTATTCCCAGTTCCGTATCCCCGGTTCCATTTTCAAAGCTAATCTATACCCAGTAAAAGCTTCTTACTAATGAATTGCACATCCTAAAGAGAGAGATTCATTAGCTGTGCATATTTTTAATGACACGCAAAATTTTTATTCAATATAGATTAGCTTTGCAAAAGGAACCAGGAGTTAAGAACTGGGAATGATGAACCAATTTCAGCCTTATCCTTCAGTCGGGGTGTCAGGGCCTGAGAATGGGCCTGGCAGGGCAGCAGGATGCCTGGGTTTGGTGCCCACTGCAAGAAGGGGGTTGGGGGTCAGACATAAGCTGTTCATTGCCCTCCTCTAGTTCTAGATGACTGGCCAGTGAAACATTTAGCGGCATGATGTTTTTCCTGTAATGGGGTTCTCTCAAGCTCACTGGAAGAGAAGGGCTCAGGGATACTGATATTCTACCCCAAGTGGCCCTCCCCCACTCCTTGCCACTGTGTACAGTTCCTGGGACTCTGCTGGAAGTGGCAGGGAGTCCCATGTGATGGAGCCAGGGGCTCTCTCCCCTTTGATCCCCCTGATGATCCCCTTGCTGCTGCCCCCATCCCTGTCTGCTGAGAGGCTTGTTAGCTAGAGGGTGGGATGTTGGGTGGGAAGCAGACCTGCATCACAGCAGGAACAGGACAGTGCTCCACAGAGCCCTGACCCCACACCCTGTGCAGGTGGAGCTGGAGCAGGGAGCACGCATGCGAGCAGAGAGGGCTGGCACCAGCTGGTGACCCGTGCTAGGGACTGCTTTTATGTGCTGGTCTGGGCGCTCCCCACTGTGGGTGACTGGGGCGGGGAGATCGCATCCCCTGGCCGTGAGCAAGGGCCCAGCCTGTGCCCCTCCCTGGCAATCAGGCCCCAGGGCTCGGTGCCCGGCCATCAAGAGGGCTTAGCTTTGCACTGGAGCGCAGCTCTGGCTGGTGGCCCAGGGAAATAACCCCCAGGCCTTGCCCAGCAGGCACCCAGGGCACTGGCGCAGCCAGGACATAGGAATGTGCATGCCCATAGAGAGGCAAGCTGTCTGATTTTGTCACCCCTGCCCCTGCAGAGCACGAGAGGCCCAGACCCCATCCCGCAGGGCCCATGGCATGGGGCTGAGCTGCAGGGGTCCCAGCTGGATCCGCTCAGCCGGCCAGCCTGGCTCAGGTGAGTGACGGCAACAGACACGGCCAGCTCTGCTAACAGCTTTAGTTACTATGTCTAAACCTAAAACTATTTACAG